CCTTGTATATATTGACAGCACTCGGTTGTATAGTAGCTAAAGATATCGAGGTTCCACGTAAATAACGGCGCTGTGTGTACACGCTGCAATGTATCAGGGCCAATTATCAACATCAATCGAACTCGTCATCTATCCGGTCTCATCCATATATCAACCTACACGTATAAGAGCCTACAAGATAAGAACCTCCAACCCAATACAGTGTCCGAGGGCATCTTGCATCGCAACGATCGTTGAGCATGTAATTATTGTAACATGATACAAAAGCTACTTGCTGTAACCAGATAACGTACGTTATGCCATGTGCTATACGGTTTACACCTCATCTCATCTTACGTTACGGACCAATAATCATCAAGCACGCCTTTCAGCGAATTCGTGTATTTGTAGAGTACGAAATATGTGGATGGTTCGCTGTTCTGAGTCCTCGTGGCACGTTTAACCCGACTCTGATGTTGTTCGCAAAAATGTGTGTTTAAACTCGTCAAGACACTGGATAGTATATACGCTGAAAGAAGCAGCAGCGTTATACCGCAGACTGAAATGCTCGAGAACGCCGGATGGAAGTCAAAGAAAGACACTCACAGCATCAAGAGCGTATAAAGAAACCTTCTTAATACGCTCTTGACAGTATCTTTAGGCTCTAGTGTGAGCCTGGAAATGCAAAACACATGGCTAAAGGGTAAAACACTGGGGATGAATCTGACGGAATCTTGCAGGCTGTGAATTATTTCGGTGTTCGATATTTATTCTTAGAAACATTATATAGGTTAATTGTGCCCGGACCTCCATACACGATGTGTGCGTGAATGTGTGTTCTGGGTCTTCACAGCGTACCATGCGTGCCAAGCTCCCCGTGCACTGGTTCCAGTCCCAACCTATCGATATTTCGGGATCACCGCGCGTCGCACTGCATGCTATAAACGCGGCGAGGCACCACTACGTGCATCCGTGCCCCGAGGTGTTGCACCTGGAAATATTTGGAAAGAAAATCCATAGACGGACGGGCGGACAGTCGGATCGATGGCTGAGTGATTACGGACGGACGGACGGACGGACCGATAGACTGACGGACGCACGGGCGGATGGATGGGTGGATGGATGGATGGATGGATAGATGGATGGATGGATGGATGGATGGATGGATGGATGGATGGATGGATGGATGGATGGATGGATGGATGTTGGATGGATGGGTGGATGGATGGATGGATGGATGGATGGATGGATGGATGGATGGACGGACGGACGACGGATGGATGGGTAGGTGTGTGGGTTGGTGTGTGCGTGCGTGCGTGGGTTGGCAAGTAGGTAGGTGGGTAAATTGATTTATAGATTAATACATTCATATCTATGTTGATAACAAGTATAGCCTATTTCCGTTTGAGTACATATTGTATATATACATCGTTGCAGGTGTGGCCTCTGGCGTAGTAGCTAGGCGGTTGATATAAAGATATAAGTGCACTAGATGATCACTAATATTTGGTGTGGACTGGGGCTAAAGTTTGATCATGTTATCACTAATAATAAAATAGTACGGGTGCGGTGGCGGCTGTTTATCTATAAAGCCGAGTTGTATAGAATGTTCACGCTACCTTTAAAATGTTAGGTAGGAATTAATATTTCGTCATCAACTAGTATGAAGTGGCTTAGAGCTTTAGCGTTCTCTAGCGCTTTCATTTACAACTCCTGTCTTTCCAAATGCATATACTACGCATATTCCGCGTGATGGAATATTTACCCCCACATATACATACCCTTGCATGAAACTCACTATGATACATAACCGCGTTTTTGTCAAGACGTATTTTTAGCGACCTCATTTTAGAGGGGTGCACTCTCGTGGTTTATGGCTGGAGAACTCTGATGAAGCTGTAAGACAACTGACAGAGTCGATTAGAGCCCCCCCCCCACACACACACAAACTTACCGTCAGCTTTATGTGCAGTTGGAATAACTCGTCAATGGTTGCTCGATTGTGGCCAACCATCGCAGTACTAAAATAGCAGTGCTGTCTCGAACATATAAGACTAAGATTAGCATAAAATCCAGACGAAGAAAAAAAAATCTAGTTGTTGGTTACACTAGACGGTGCAGCCGGTGCAAGCCCTATGTGTACGATGTGTATAGTCGAACATCCCCTGTATCTTCTTGTAAGCCGCAATGTCGAAATGCCAGAATATGCCGACTCATATCAGTGTCCGGAATATGCCCAGACTATTCCGTCCAGAATATGCCGCCCAGAATATGCCGCCCAGAATATGCCGCCCAGAATATGCCCAGCCCAGAATATGCCGACAGAAATGCCGACTCATATCAGCATCAACTAGACTTGCTGTTCTAATGTTGGTTATATAGAAATTCTTCATCAGCCAACAATCCGTAAGAGGCAGGGTGTAAACCCCCACTACATTATACGGAGGCTGGAAAACAATATTACAAATTACGTGCAAGTTTAAGTTCAAATTTTAGCCACATGCTAAAGATGAATTTGGAGTCAGTTGTCATGGGAACACAGATGCAACACTGTTGCAACAGAACGAAGCCGATGTCATGAGAATTTCCCAAGGCGGTAGCGCACTTAGCACAAAACTACCATGCGTGAAAAGAATATCTTATAACCTATAATAATAATAACCTATCAAGGTCACCCCCCCCCCTGGATCTGCCCCGTTAGTGACCTGTTCCTGTGCGGATTGCAAATGTGCTTTCTAAGATCCTCGCAATATCCGAAGATTGCCCCTCATTCGGCCCGTTTGACGCTATGTCTGTGGATTCATAATTGAGATGGTAATCACGAAGCGTGTGATACTAGTTTCTCATCATTGATCACTCGAACCGTACCTTCAGGCCTTCCCGATCAGGGAGTGGATTCTGTAATAGGCGAGTTGAGGGAATACCAATGGGGAATTCAGCGCTAACCTTTGTTACTGAAGGATATTGTAGACTGATGTGACATCTCGTTCATGGGTTTAATTCATGATTACGAACGAGCGTACAATAGGTTTACGTTATGTCTGTACCTTACGTGATATCTTATACCTGTATATACTGTGTATATTTGTGACATTGATGTTGCATCTGTACTGTAGGTATAAATACAAATAATTCTATTACTGCCATGAACTGTATTTCCTGGCCGTAGTCGTAGAGCTCGACAAGAAGCTCACAACATCTTGAACACAATAACTGATAGACAGTAACTGATCGTTTGTGATCTCGTTGACACTATTGTGTGTGTGGAAGACGTGTAGGTAACAATCGATGCGAACGTAGGAACCGATGAAATTACGTCTACAGTTACAGTTTCATCACGTACGATTACAGTTTTATCGCGTCAGTGACCTGCAGCTATGTAGTTGTCTGTCTCGACAACCGTTCTTGTGCCCGTACGATGCGATGATCAATGCCTTTTATATCCGGGCAAACGGATTTCATTAGAACCGTGACCGGTGGCATTTTGATATACGTAGTAGCGATAACCTCCCGCAGTTTGCACTATACATAGGTTTTCCGGCGAGCGGACATCTGAAACACTGTAGGCTGTTCGCATACATGTAGGTGCTTCTCTTCAGGCGTACTCGAGGCGCCTCCCCTCCTACTCCCCTCCCTATTATCCGCCTAGGGGATACTCTAGCGCGAGTACATGGTAAATGGCATGGTTTTGCAGCGCGCGCACGAACATTATTATTCGCTGCAGACGATGCAGCATATTGTGTCAGTTTGTCATGTTACGTCGCTGCGTTGTTGCAGTATGTGTGAGAAAGCACGTAGAGTACAAGCGCGTAGCCAGGGGGGTTCTGGGGGCCCTAGAACCCCCCAATAAAAATAAAAATGAAAAGAATAAAAATTCTCTATTTTCTTTTTCTCTTAAAAGCGCGTAGATGAGCACTATTTTTACATTTAACTCAAAAACAAAATTCAGACCACCTTGTTACTCGCTCGAGGACCCCCCCCCCCCCAATCCAAATTCCTGGCTACGCCAGTGGTAGAGTATGAGCAAGCAAACGGTCTGCCAACAAGAGATTAGGAAAGTCATTGTTTTTATCGAGGAAAATATATGCAGTACATTCTCCTGCCTTCCAATAGTACGCTATAGTTATGTAACGATAGCAAAACCGCGGGTTGCCTTACTAAATACAATTCCGTGAAGGATTGCAGTCATCACAGTAGCAATGCATATATATTTGAGGTGTGATCAATTACATCATAGGAGAAACTCATAATCATAAAGTTTTTTAATAATTGGTTAGGTTTTGTTTTCTACTAATAGGAACACACAATTTGCTAGTACCAGCGTGAAAAGAGTTAGTACGTAATGCTCTTCTTAACTAACTATAGTGCACGGTGAAATTTCGTGGTACATGTAGAAGTATTTGCGTTAGCAGTCTTCCACTATTTGGTGTTTGGATTTGTGGTTTTTATTGCGTTGATCTGTCCCAGGATCAGCACCACGATGGAGGCTGGGGTCATACATATGCGCTTTGCCTCATGAAAGCTTGCGCTCATGAAAGCTTAGAAACCCTCGTGTTGCCACTGGGTTCGGTTACTCACCAACACGACCGATGGCATTATTACTTGCGAGTGTTTTTTTAACAAGCATCTCAAGGGTCTAGATGAAGAACTACGAACGTGAACTTTACTCCAGTCGATTTGTCGTTGCAAAACTGTACTGTACTCAGCTCCGTGACCAGCTGTTTTCAGACAGACCACGTTGTCTCCACGTATTATAGACTTTATAGTAATGATTATGTAAGGAAGAAGTGTACTTACGAGGACATTATATTAGTTACAATACCATTATAAACATTAGAAAATGCAGCAGTAGAAAGCCTGTATACACGGAATGCTTGTACGTACAAAGGATTTACAACTAATTTTCTGATGGAACCTATTTAATCACTACCGCGATGAGTAGAATGATAAGAAATGTATTGGTGTATGGCTGTATAACCGGATCAAGACGGCGTGTGTAACATACATGTGCTTCTTTGCAGGTACAACATTGGCCGAGTTCTGAGAGCAAAGGGGGAAAATCGTGCCGCCAGCCAGTGTTTAATGACAGCTATAGATCTAGAAGCCACCAGTCCAGTTCTTTCATTCGCCAGCATTCCACGAGTTGTGCTCTGATATAGTAACACTGCCACGGCACCCACATCCTTCAAATAACACGGAATAATTACGTTTGTCACACTACCAGTGTAAGTAGTTATTCTTCATTTTGACATTGGAAAGGAAGATGTGGGCAGTGTTTTCTGGAAAGAACATTGCCACTGAGAGAAGCTTATGTTTACTAGTCTTACTATGTAGTATGCTCCCCCCCCCCATCTTGGATCATACAGTATTATACAGTATTCGTGTATCGTGAATTGTTCATGCTATTATAACCATCATCATTATAATAACTTTGTTAGTACGTTATCAATTATTCCTTAGTGATAACACGTGCTATTACACTACGTTATACATAAACATTTCCATGTATTTCTAGACATTTCTGTTAGTCGCAATACAATGTATTGTCATTTTAAAATTAGTTTACATGCCGTTAAAGTTAACTGTAGCGCACGCAAATTCAGGGTGTAAAGTTATGATATGTATATAATTGCTTTCGATGTAAATATGCATATAGAAAATTACCGCATTTAGGCTCCGATTGTTAATTCTAATTAATTTTATCACGTATTAAATGTTATATTTGTTGAATGGCATCTTTCATAAATGAGGCAATAGAAATTCACACTTTTGAACCCAGGCTACTGTCTTTGTAAAGTAGGCAGAAATGCCATATCAAGACCTAATCAATACAAACTTCTATGAGCGCCCGGGCCCATATTGCGGCAAGTGTGGAATATTATTTTTCGCGCAACTACCGATATTATTTCATCCGTAATAACGCATTCTAGGGACATTAAATATTGAATAAATTGTCTAATATTAAATGCTATATCTACGCATTTGTGATTCTGGTGTGGGTAGTGTTAGCAGTGTACTTATATTATGCAGTGCGTGCGTACGTGCATGCGTGTGCGCGCGCGAGCGATTGTGCAAAACACACACTATTTTTAATCTAATTGAAACGCCGACCGGGGAAAATTTCGTACGAGTTATATAGCAGCGAACCGATTCTATATGCCTTAAGAAACTTTACAAAAAGCAAAGACATCACATTAAAATAAATAAAAAATGTAATGAACGACAAAACATCTCACCACCCTTCAGTGAAATTAATAGTTGAGATGCTACTACAGCACATTATGTGAAATAGGTGTGATGCGGAGGAAAACTCCATCCTTCCATGCCACTGATGTACACGTAAAAACATGTTACGCACTATTTGAAGATATGATATGCCACCCACCGACGGCAGTTTTCCACTCTCCATGTATGTTGTTGTAGGGTACTACCCCGCCTAAAAAAATGTTTCTCATTCACTAAAGCTAGGCGTTTTAGATGGAGCTGGCCGACCCGGTGCCTTCCTTGGCTTGCTTCCAAAGAAACCCATCGATTTTCCAGTTTCACAGCTCTGGTACAGATAAATCAATAGTCATTTGTGGAATCGGTCGTGATGTAAGCACACTTTAGCTGATATTAGTCGCGGTAGGCCCAATGTGTACTGAAATTCTCACGCTATATTCAGCGGTTAGTTATTATGACCATTAATGACATTAAAGTTGGGAACACTCCTAATGGAGTATCACCCGGCAAGGAACGTGCGTATTCAACATTACCTCGTGTGTATAGTACCGTGGCGAGATAGTGAATATTTGCATATTCGTCTGCAGATAACATGTACCAAGGGACTGCCGATTATGTGTAGAGTAAAGTACCAACGTACGTGGACATGTATTGATTGCGGTACCTGGCATGTATTTAGTCGGCGGAGGCAATCGATACGGCCACGATTTAATTATCTTTAGGCTGAGCGACCCGGTGGGCGTAGCACTGTGCCACGTGCACGAACAATCGTACGCGTCTTCGCTACTCCGCCATCTGTGGCGTTAGAAAGGGTTTCTACGTTTCGAGAATACAGAAAACTGAACAATTATGGGCCGAGTAGTGTTACACGACATATCCAGTTATCAGTTGTAAGTACATTTTGTCCACTTACTTTGCTGACGTACAATATATACTAATTGAAAAAAACATACATGATACTACAGTGGTAACAACTAACAAGTAAATTTGAGATAGTGGTTTTAATACCAATAGTTTTGTACAGTTACATGCACGAGCAGTTGAACCATCTTTACATATCACCAAGCAGTAAACAAACAGGTGTGCTAAAATACCAGTCAACAAAATTCGTAGAACCAGTACAGACCGGCCAACAAAAATGTACACGCATCACTTTCCATGCTGCAACAGGTAGGTTACCTGTAAGTAGATCTCATAAACAAACAAGAAACTGTTTTCTGCAGTCACGCAGGTCAGACCAACCCCATAACCTTCCAGACAGAAACTGCCAGTTTTCCAGAGTATCAGAAACTTGTTTCAACTGCTCAAGGAATGATTTGTAGGTGGCTCTACGGGCAGCCAACACCTGACATATACTGTATCCCGACAGTGACCGGAAACCACGATCGAACCGGAACCCTTTTATACCCATTAGTGATTCATTGTGCTCGAGATGTTACAGCATTCACTTGCTCCCCCAAGTTCTTAATATATACACAAATTTCAAAATGCACAACACTGCTCAAATTTCCAGTATGCACTTACATCTGCAATAGCTGTGCAATGAGGAAGGGATGAACAATACATATCCAAAGTAAAAAATAAAGTGGGTAGGATGCTTAGCACCGCTGCCGAGAGCTCCAATGAAAGTTGTAGAACTTGAAGTACTAGATGACACAGCAAAGCAAATATAGAGAAAACGCTGTTGTTTACAATTTCCAAAATATCGGAGGGTCTTCTACATGTGTGGTGCATTACAGAAATTGAATACAAGGCGAGAAAATAGTTTTGAGAAATGTTTTCAACCTACTAAACCTACCCTATACTTCTTATTTTCATGCCTCGTTTCAACACCTTGCAACTCCCGCCTTCTACAAGGAAGGCAACAATACGACCGATATTTACAAATAAATTTTGTCAAAGACAAACTTGTAGTTATTACTCAGTTTCATCAATATAATCACTTGGTTACTCCATCAGAACAGACAAGGCAAGTCGAAAGTCAAGACGAATGTTTACATCATTCCAAAAAATGCAGAAATTGACTACGTTATGCATTTTATGATACAAAAAATTTACAGACTAAAGCAAGACCGCTGTTATTACAAAGACATACAATGTCTGGAAACAACAAGAATGGCCAAAATAACACAGATGAAGAATCAATAATGCCATTTCACGATAAAGGAAAGGTACTGCATAGAACAAACAAAAATTATGCAGGGGATGAAGAACAATGACAGGAGCAGTTAGGAGCAAACAGAAGTCTTGAAATATTTATTAGATGGGTAGGTACAGTAAAAATGGAAAATATATCCAAAGTCAGCGAAGTAGTTGGATGTTGCGTATGACACCACGTCCTAGATACGTAGTGGAACGTCGCTTACGGCAAATACTCGATCGTTTGTACAAGCCACAAAAACTCCAGTCTCTGGTTGATGTTCACAGTTCACAAACACAGATGGCGCTTTTATTTGGATGTCATCATTGTGACGAATTCTGCAGAGAAAATGTGATTTTCAGAAGGCTGTAAGATCCTAATTGTTTATTTCTAGTCAAGTAACCATTACCTGTCACTAACAGGGCTCGCACTGCCATTGGCCACATTCGCCAATGTAATAAGAAACACATCATTGTATTGCACACTAGCTGGTGAATGATTAAATGACAAAAACTTATCATCATTAAATCTTAATAACACACTACCATCAAATTGCTGTTGAATGCAAGTACTGCTACAATGTAGTGCCACGACTAGTATACATCTGCATTACTTAGACCCACCTGGCAATTGTCATAAGCCACACATATAATATGAATGATACAATAAGATGAATGAAATCCAATACTAAAATCAATCTGGGTGTTGCATTTCTCTTTAATACCATAAAACGGAGTATAATACTGACCTTCATAGTTCACCTGTCCATCACCATCAATGTCAGCTTCCCTGATCATTTCATCGACCTCTTCGTCTGTAAGTTTTTCTCCCAAGTTTGTCATCACATGGCGCAACTCAGCTGCACTGATGAAGCCGTTCCCATCCTACAGGAATTAAAATGATTCACTAACCATCACTAACTTAACCACAATAAAGTATTTTTCATTCTATACCGGCTGCTTACATATATTGAGCTTGCAACAAGTACGTATTAATCATACAACTGCATGAAACAGAACATAAGACTTGCTGCTAACCAAACCATGACTATGAAAATAGTAGGAATAACTTGCTAACCAACTATTTACATGAAGTTCTGAAACAACATGCCAATTGTGTATGCATAAATCTTACTCATTCATAAAAAAACTTCACAATTTAAACTAAATGAAACATTCACAAATTAGTAGGGGAACACACCTTGTCAAATACTCGGAATGCTTCCCTAATTTCTTCTTCACTGTCTGTGTCCTTCATCTTTCTCGCCATCATTGTGAGAAACTCAGGGAAGTCAATTGTGCCATTACCTACAAAATATGAATGTGGTTAGTTGTCAGTTATATATTTGCGACAAGAGAATAATACACACAATGGGATTTTCCATACTTCAACATTCACTAGTAATAGTTACCACTGCTCTCTACAATGAGACAGCCACTATCGATTTATAAACAATTATAGCACTGTCACTATGTACACAGCTATATTGCATACACATATTTCAATTAATTTCACATACTATGACTTATTGCAACAACCTGGCACCATCAAGAGTTGATTATTGACAAACAGATGTTTTACTTATAAAGATCACCTTTTAAAAATGGGAAAAATCTATTACTGGAAGCTGCCAGGTACAGTATTTTCCACACGTACAGCACTTCCTTACAACATACTTTTATTGTGGCAGAGGCACTAATAGTAGTACATTCTAGCAAAAAAATTATACACTATAATTCCATCCTATTAAAAAATTGGGTTTTCAATGACTTCTAGCACTTAAATAATGCTTTAGTTCCATTGAATATACTACTAACATTAGAAACAAACAATGTTTACCATCAGCATCAACTTCATTAATCATGTCCTGTAGTTCTGCCTCAGTGGGATTCTGACCTAACGACCTCATGACAGTTCCCAACTCTTTAGTTGTGATTGTGCCATCACCGTCTTTATCAAACAGGGAGAAAGCCTCCTTGAATTCTGAAAGTATTTGGATTATAATAAATTGATTATCAAAATTATGATTATTTTTTTTAGGTATTATCACATTTTCTCATTAGAACAAATTGAAACATTGGGATTTCAATATCAATGTTACCTGAATGTTACTACTTTTCTCATTGTGCAAAAACCAATCAATGCAAAATAAAGAGAACAAACAAGAGACTTACCTGCAATCTGTTCCTCTGTCAACTGATCCGCCTACAATGAAACAAATTCAAAAAACCTTAGAAATACACTAGTGATGAAGGTAACTTTATTGCAACTAAAACCTACCAAACCACAATTTGCCATGTAAATAACACTCTAGTATACCCAGTCAAGTTTTTTCAGACTAGCCACGATAGTGCAATTTTAGACTTTGCATAACCACACGTGCCCATTTCACCAAAAAATAGACCCTGCAACCACAGCCAAAACATGTATTGAATAGATTCCTTTTCCTGAGTAGGTCCTTTTCATAGAATTCAAAAACGAGGCTGCAATTTATAAACTGCAACATGAACTCACTAACTCCCACAATTGAAACTAAAACTAGGCATAATCACTTCAGTTCTAACGGCAGGTTGTTTGCTAACACTGCAAGTACATGTACATGTGCAATATTATATAACACAGAAGTGTGTAAAATACAGTCAGATCAGCTTCTAAACAATTGAGGCGGCTATTTCCTCAAGTATAAAAATTAAAATGCAGTACATTTTGTGATTGTGTAGTTTCCAACGGCAACGAAACGTTTGCTGTGACAACTGTCCCGTTTAGAAAATAGTGAGATAAAATCACTTTTAACCTTTATTTTTGTGATTGATGAATGCAAAGATATAGGAAAATATCAACTGCTATGCCAGTGAAGACGGATGTGGCCCACCTTCATAAGCCTTATCGCCAATCGGAACAGCAATGCGTCATGGGATAGGAAAAGGGGCATTACTAGCGCCGCCGCCGCCACGAGCGGTTAGCAGCCGGCTGCACGCAATAGACGCCTATGCGCGATACCGTTCGCATATATTTGGTAATTAATTAGACTAATCATGCTTCAACAAACTGAAAATTTACAGAGGTTATAGCTAAGACATGTGTCTATATTCCT